ATGTTATTCGTTTTACGGTAAATCTAGTCTTTTTCCACACCATTAGGGCGCATGCGCGCCATGTCTGTACGTTACAAATAGCCTTCATGACGTCATTATTTCATGTGGCAACGCGAACTTGTTCGAGAACTACGCACTTACTTGTATTTTCTACAAATCACAGGTTCTTCTTTTCCTCTCAGATCACCGCCGGACTGATCTGTTGAGAGGTTGTCTTCACTAGCTACGGGAAGAAACAGACTGAGAGACTCCGCTGTCTTCCATAAAACACTCGTCGCCTCTCCGTAAGTACGGATTAAGTAACTTGTAGATATAGCGTTAAACGTTTGTTTACAAGTCAACGTTACCTGATCTCAGCGTCAAGTACTGAGGACAAGGTGAAAGTTGTTTTTTTTTACATTTCTCGCACCCAGAATACAGAGTTTTGAGGAATTTTTAATTGTGATGACCCACCTTAATAGTCAACATGCATATAGGGAAGATACAGGAATCAACCACATCACCAATGCACAGGCCACTAGCTCTGGATCTTAACGTTAAACGAATATGAATCGTTAGTACTTGAAGATTGAGCTGTTCTTTTTTATGCCCTAAAAGTAATGTCCAGTTGAATCCTGTCTCTCTTCGTGTGATATTTAGGTTAAAATTATAAACTCACACACGATTAGAAAAAGGCAAAAAAAACTCGCAAAGGCCATTTCCAATAGTGGGGGGAAAGGCGGAGCCCGTATACGCGTATCAAAAGCCATCGAACGGCGTGCCCTCCAATTTTAAGTGGGCTCAGTAAAGGCTTCGACCGGAGCTTACCGCTGATGTTGTGGAAACGGTGACTCGTTAGACGCAACTTTGCAGTGATGTTTATAAGAAAGTGTCGTCACCTGAAGTGCGTGGGTGCCGGCACGTGGTTCTGTGGCACGGGTGAGTGAGGTCAAGTGTAGGCGGAGACCAGCTTGCTCACTTACACTACCAGGTGCAGAAATGTGACCTTTGTGTGGATTTGACAGAAATAGTCAGTGAGAAGATGGGGCAAGCTAAAGTGCACATACATGTATAAAGATGCCAAAGCTGTGGTGTTTATGATCCAGGGTGCTGTTTAGTACATGTATCTTACGATTCATATTTCCACAAATTCCCCCTTTCACATATTTTACTGCCGTCACATCATATGAAATATCATTTATTTCTGCATGAAGGTAACATGTATGACCCCTGCTTATACAGATGTATCCACATCTAACTTCGTATGTGAATGCACATATATAGTTATTAAAGTTTGGCGACAGTTAGAAACGGGAAATGGTAAGTCAGAAATGGTCTCAACATTACTTTACATTGTATATTCGACCAATACACAAAAATCATTGTTGCTTATATTTTTCCAAATGTCTGATGCTTCAACTGTGCGATGTCCTCCTTCCTTAACAGCATACAGAGAAGCTATGACATCACCATCAGACCGGAATTGTCCAGAAAGGAACTATCCGGATCCGTTGCACGGACTGATCCGGACTCCTGACGAGCCCTCCGCGCCGGCGTCCTCCCGAGCATCCGAACACCAGGAGCAGAGCGTGTCCTCCCCTGGCGGCGTGGCAGGTGGGCCCGCCTGCAGTTCCCAGGACAGTCCGCAGTGTGGCTGCACTGGCACGCACTTCCACCCGCCTGATCTGAACAAACTAGGACTGGCACCGCTAGGGGCACTCCCCAGAGACAAGTACATGGTGTTTACTTATTCTTCCGTAACCGAATAACTTGTCATTCAAAACTGATCATATCTGTAGAATTGTCCTGTCCTTTTAGATATACTGACGCTTAGTTCCCTTCATCAGGATCAGAAACGTTCGGTGTAAACGTCACCATGCATTTGGTTAGGAATGGGTTCAAAAACCACCCTGGTTGGGCGAGGTCGGGAACAAATCATGGGAAGGTCCTGAGCTGAATGTGTATGTGACGGACGCTTTACTATCACGTCAAACAGTGATTACGCCTACCTCAATCGGTTTGTCTGAGAGCAGTTTGAATTGGCAATTTGTCCTACTGCTGCACTTACAGGTATTCGCGGCAGGCGGCGCAGGAGGACGGGAGGGAGATGCCAGAGTACAAGCAGTTGATGATCCGCTGTAAGGAGGTGACCGCCATGATGGGACCTGATCTGACTGATCCAAAGAACAGGGCCAGGAACAAGGTCAGACATTGAAGGTGAAACAAGACAGACTGGGCTGGGAAATATTGTCTTGGGTGACTGTGGGTTTATGTGTGTCTATTCGTTTGTTTGAACAGAGTAGGCTGACAGCTAGCACGTGGGTGGGGAAAGACACGGGAAATGGGGTATTGGTAGGTCTTAAAAACCCAAAATAGTTCACACAAGTCTGAAATCTGCTATTTCTCGTTGTTGCTGCTTTGTCAGTTGTCACGTATTCTTTTCAGCTGACAGTAAGATTTTTTTTTAATCCTAGAAAAGTTCGACGTTGGTCACTAAATACAGCGGACCTTGTTCCTACCTACCGACCCTCGTGTCAGCAGACTCCTCTCAGCACTGCAGCACCCTCCTCATCCCAGGTACCTCCGGCTTCCCGCCTGTATCTTCTGACGAGTCCATGCGGCACAGGAAGTCAGGGAAACATCACAAGAAGTCAGGGAAAAGGGCACGAAAGAGCAGCAGCAACTCCAAACGCCGGCGAGCGTCACCGACCGTTCTGCCTAACACTGGCAACAGCTTGCCGAAGCTGGCAGTGTCGGCAGCAGGCGTGCCGTACCCTCGCACGGACAGCAAAGTCTTCAAGGTAGACCGACTTCAGCCCATACACACCACAAGCACCGCTACGTCTGCCCATCGGACCATCAGAGGCGGCAAGAAGTCACCGCACAAACGGCGGAAGAGCAGCAAAACGTCCACTTGAAATGTCAGTCGTCACCACAGTAGATATACTAAGGAAAACTACGTCAGGAGATCCAAGCACACGCCAAGCACGCCCCATGGCCAGTTCCCACTTGTAAATAAAAGATAACGTTGTTATACAATGTTACCTATCGTCTTATATCGACATCGCTTGGTTATGGACAAGATATGGAAATAGTTCAGACGAGCTGCTAGGATGTTCTCTATCAATGTGATTCTCTATATGACACTTGCTGTTTATTCGTTGTCAAGTGACTGCATGTGTGCACTTATTTACAGCTATGTATCTATCAGTAAAACGATTTCTGTAGAATATCTCATTTACAAGTGCATAGTGGGATCAAACATATCATTAACTGTATAGGTACTCTGTAACTTAGTCTGGCAACTCCGCACAACCTCAATACACCGCATGAGGTCCTGGTCGTATTGTCGTCATTTTGTCTCATACAATTGTATGTCAATGTAATGTCAGTAAGGTAGGTTACATTTACATATGCTACTGGCGTTATGTTCACTCATCATTTAATTTTTTCGGGATACTACTTGGTCATAATATAATAGTATCCTTCCACCCTTCCTACACAGAGTATAGTCACAATGTTACATGGCGGGTGTGGTTATTGACGCACAGTTCGAATCTTTCTCTCCACGTCTCCTGTAATGTTACATTCAACTGAACTAGTCTTTGGTGAAAGCCAATAGCGATCGGATTCAACACCAGTGTCACAAAGGATGCTACCGACAACCTACCATAGAACTCGCTGCCTCGTGAATCAAAATTACGGTAGTTACCGTTGATTGCTACACTTTGACTTGCTAGCGACCATAGGACCTGTCTTTGTGTGTTTTCGGCCTATGTACAGAAATTCCAACATACGCGCTAGGCCCTAGTTGTCACCAAACAGCACTTGCTTCGTCCATAGTAAAATGCTGGTTACTGCATACAAGGAAATTGCCCCATCTCAATTGGTACATGCACTGTGCCTACGCCATTCATGGGAAGTATCTTATCACAACCAATACACCCTTTCAGGATCCTTAAATCTGTTCTTACCTAAGCTTCAACTTATCGGGAAGCTTCAGCATTTGAATGTCATTGGCAGTCCAGTCTCGGACCCTTGAAGAACAGCATCTTCTGTGGCTGTATAGTCCACAACGTTTGAATAAAAATCGTAGTTATCCAATGAGGAGTATAGATGTACAAGTTGTCTTTTCTCACTGTTTGTATGTTGAAAACTGCATAGTTATTAACATTATCATAGTTACGTCATGTTGAAGCTATAACGGTTTTCACCCTAACTATCCGACTACACACAATGGCACTACTCAGTGATATGAATCGGGAATCACAAAAATACTATTTCGTGTCCTTGGTATACACTTCCTCGCTCATAATGACATGGCACAGCTCTACCTATATTTCATTATTATACATACATACATACAATACTACATGTACTGTACATATATACATCACCGTAAACTCCAATGTTTACTAACCTCCTTAGCAGGCTCAAAGACTCGAGCTTCTCTAGCTTTTTTGTCCGATGATATGGCATATCAGTTGTCAGTTTTTTTTGGAGGCTACATAATTCACTATATGCATGTCATTGGGTCTAGAGAGTTCTACTTAACCATGCTGTTATATCGATGAGATAGCGAAAAGCATGCGAGATCGTTACATAGGAAGACGTTCATCCAAACACAACATCTGCTGTTATCAAAATCGAGTGTATTTTGTTACAACGCCGTGTGAGTATCAAGTCCAACTCTCAGCAGCGCCATCAAGCGGAGCAGAGTGCAGCTACTACACCATGATGGTCGGTCCCGGGAGGTAGTTGTTGTTGTCGTTTTTCGGCAGGACAGTGAACTGATTCCTCGACAATTCGGGGTCAAGATGCAATCCAACCCTCTCCAGGTCTTCCAGTCTCAAGGTCAAGTCGTTCACAATGCGTGGCTTTCTTCTCTTCTGTGGCTTCTTTCTCCTGATAAACAAGAAAAATTCTTCAGTGTTTTACATATCAGAGACACAGCGATGTAATAAGCGCCTATGCATCTACCTTTGGTGGCAATAATCATGACATCTTTCAGGGAAAGAAGATGTTGTAAGCTATGAGAAGGAACCTCTGCTTAGCAATGCTGTTATGCAAAACTGCCATGAGGAACTCCAGAACGTGCCCTACTTTTTTCCTCATCTTTGCTTTGATCTTCCGAAGACTGCAGATCAGTGATCGTGAGTCACGGCTCGTGACAGATTGGCCTGCCCGGAAGGTCCCGGGTTCAGACCGTATCTCTACGATGTGCCGACGACAAATCCCTGTGGAACCATCTCTCCGGCACGCACGTGGTGTCACGTGTCATGCTGGCCAGTATATACCACCCCCGGGGGCTCAACAAGGAGAAAGATTGACAGTTATGAGGACCACCTGTCTTGTAAGGCGAACATTTGCCTCGCAGAAGTAGGACCAAAACATTTTTGTTTGACAGTGTAGAAGGAATCTCAAAACGTCGCAATGAGTATCAAATAAATCCGTATCACAGCTTAAGCTTTTGAGGAAGGCGTATTAAAGACGCGAAAATTAACCCTCTATCGATATAGAAATAATCCAATTGTGCTGTTAACGTGTTAGGCACGTGTCGAGATTGCGCTGCCTTTGGATAATCCAGAAATGCCAAAGAGACTTGGTAGTTTCAGTCATACAAAGAGGCCTTGCCAAGGCCCTTGGTGGGGAGTGCCGTGCTACTGGCTACTGGTCTCAGCTGTGTATTTCACCTGCATTCATGTTTCTGCTTGTATATCTTCTGGCCATTTATTAAAGCAAAGACTGCCATTGAAAATCGATGGCAGGCGACTCTCCGGCCAGATGTGCGCGGACTTGTAAAAAGTACCTGGACCTGTGTATGTGTCCTATTGGCGTTCAACATAAATCTTGAATCTTTACACCTCTCTTTTACATGTTTTCATTCCGAAAAAAGTACCATCCTTTTTTGTTTGGTATCACCTTTCTTTGGTACGCTTTTAGGACAGGAAAACCTTTAACCTTTACCTCAGATTCTATCAAAAGTCACTGAAGGCCTGACGTTATCTTCAATGTTCCTAATACGATGGCGAGAATGTGCAACATCACGTCTGCTACATCATCACATCTGCCTACAGAGCGGAGGTAGCTCGGAGAAGGTATAACTTCTAAGGGCTGGACTCCAGGCTAGCTAACACATGAAACACTTTGAAACTGCGGCGCGGGCGAGGAAAGAGCCACGATAGATTTGCTTCCTATGACCTGCATCGACGCAAAGCTTCGTAGTTCCAAGAAGCTCGCTGACGCGTTCCTAATTCCCACAGGAATGAGGTAAATCCTTCCCAACGACCATCCACGACCTCCAGACGTTACATTGATTTTACGCTTTATTTCATTTCCCACACAGAGGGGGATATCAGCTGACAATGCATCTCTTAAGGTCACCGTCAAAACCATTACGGGGCGCTTCAATATACTGCCAAATGGATCCGAGCCATTCCACGGCGCCTGCAAATGGAGAAACTGCAAACTAATTGGTATTTAGAGGACTGGGACGCTCGGCTGGCCGCTCCGTTCGATGCGCTGTGCACAGGTGGGTCATTAGAACAGTCCGCTGCCGAAGGACAGGGAATGTCAGGTGGCCATGGGCGGAGTCGAGGGGGGGGGGCGGCTTTGACACATCTACTGAGTACTTGTCTGCCTTATCTTCAAAGCCAGTCTACAGTATTTCTGTACGTCCACAATACGAAAATAGTATATTTTTCTACCTGGCCTAGCTTCTGTGATTGTGGCTTTGACAGTCTGAAATCTACGATTTGGTACGCCAACGTAAGCTTGTGAATTATGTACCACTTAATGACTTTTAAGATTACGCTTGTAAAACATGAGTTAAGCTTCTAAGTACTGGATAATCCACGTCACAAATCATGTTCTCTACAAGGAGCAAAGTTCCCAACAGCAATGTAATGAGACACAATAAAAAGGTGTAATATAAATAACACGAGTTAATAAACTCGGAGACGTGCACCCACCTGCTGGCTGTAGCGGAGAACAGAATAGTGAAGACGGCGACCACAGCCAGAATCTCGAATATGGTGACGATCTGGCGGAGGCTGGGGACGTGCCTGCCGCTGTCTCTGGACGTGTGGATCGCAGCCTTCCTCGTGTGGTCTGGAAAGTACAGATTCAGTGTATATTTAATGTTACGCACTTTAAAATTGTGGCGTCGAGGGGCCGAGTGACTAGGGCTTGCGGATACGCGATCCAGAGCTTACGGGTTCGCGCCCTGACATTCCTGGCTAGACGTTGTGTCCCTGGGAAAGGCACATAACTTAACACGATCGACTTTCATCACTCCAACTAGATATAAAATGAGTACCTGGCTTCGGTTAGGGAGCTAAAAGGAAGTCGAAAGAAAAGTAATGGGCTCCAATAGCGTGCTCTAGACATTAGCAAGCCTATGGGCTCAAAAATGCTATGGAGCTACCTTTACCTTTCCTTTTAATACCAATATCTCCTCTGGCCCATGGACTATAATGGAACACATCGTAATGCAATGCAGGATATCGAGACAGAGTAGAAATAGATGGATGTATTTGCTAGGGATCTTTTGTATTTCCTTTCTCTCTTGGAACATTCATCCTCTCCATGGTGCTGAAAAGGTGGCTGTTAGTCATAATGCACAGATGATGCTGTCAATGTTTTAGCCTGGAAACACGACGATACTGCACCGAAGTTGCGTATCCTGCGCTGGCAAATTTCACCTGTGCTCTGGTTCCCCGGAGAGGAGAGTAAAGAATACCAATACGTGAACCAGCGATCAGGAATGCTGGTCCACCGGTTGTGAGAAAGCAGGGTAACCTTTGGCCTGAGATAGGCTTCACGCTGTGACTATTTATAGATTAGTCGCTATCTGTGTCGGAAAGGGCACAAGTTTGAAGCGCCTTCCCTCTAATGCTGCTGTAATGGGGTGAAACAAACGCATAACCTGTCCCCCTACATGATTGAAACCGGAAAACAGTTGACAGGAAGTACCAGCAAACACTTGAGGGCACATACATGTATATGATCCATACTAGTAGAAACTCGGAAGTGTTCAATTCTTTTCTCTTCTGTTAAATGTCTGACCCGGTCGGATGTACCACAACTGATGTGATATGTGGAACTAGACTACAGGCAGTCACAACTTCGCTCATACGTTTCTTGTGACTATTTATTATGTGCTATCAGCTGCACTTCCAACAAGATACAAAAAAGGCAACGAAACATTTTACGATCATGAGTGAACAGAAATCTAGACATAAACACGCTCACGTGCACTCTCGTTTCTAACAAAGTAATAACGAAAAGTTCATAACGAGTCAGTCTTTTATCAATATAACGTAAGCTGTACTTTACACATGGCGCCATGTTTCATCGATTACCCATAATGCCTTGGGGTAGATTCCGTCTTTGCTGATATTGCCATGCTGTTTTAATTGTGTTTTTTTATACGAGTAGAGGACGAAAGAAGTGCGATTGACCTTTCGGAATGTAGTAATTGGAAGTTCTTTGAAGTATTCGCAGGCAAACTATTCACAGGGAGCTGGCATGCCTTCTTATAATTACATGTTCAGAGCTGCTAGATTACATATACTACATTTTTAAACTTATACTTGGGAATGTGCAATCAACTAACTGCAATTGTCATTCATCAAGACATCAAAAGAAACGTCAGAAGACCTGCACTGAGTCTGTCTCTATTCCCCTTTGTTGTTAATGCAATCACAGTGATATATCAGTAAACTCCTTCAGTAAGTTTAGATGATAAAGTCCCCAATCTTGTGTAGTTGGTTAGACGTTATCAATCAGCCCATGCCCGGCCAGTCTCGCGATAAGTGGATCCCGCGCAGATGTTCGGCGTGTACGGACAGCGAGCAGCGCGCACACGTCAGCTCGCGGAAACTGTGCCGCTCGGTTTTAATTAACCTCCCGCCGGCCGGGGTGATCGATCCGCTGTCAGGCGGCGGAGAGGGGCCGACTGACGTGGCAGAAATGAAACACCAAAATTGATCTGCATCGGATTTTGGATAGTTTTAGACCAACATGAAACATGCAGGGTATTGATATTAAAATAGAATTATGACTGACGCCGTGAATGATAATGCATGACCTTGAGAAGGAAGGCATCAACAATTCATTTTACGGCTTTAAAAACACAACAGCTATTTTAACTATGGCTGCGTGGTTTCCACTGAAGTACATATCTAACTCCTAATAAGGTTACAAATACCGAGCTGACTTGTCAGTACATAATGAAATTTCAGAACAAATGTGCAACACTTGAAAGTCACCTATTACACAAATTAAAAGGCATTACTGTGAGACTTCAGTTTTTTCGTTTTTCAATAGGCTAATCGACCTATACGCTACCTCCTCCATCTTTCATTACAAACGTTCAATACCATTTAGCTATTGCCTCTATTTCACGTGATTTCATTAAAAGGACAGATCCCATTTTACAGCTGGAACAAATGATTGGAAACTCAGACAGCCTTTGGTTTTGTGGCGTCTGCAATACTTGTCCCCATTACCAGCTTAGAGATCCTTTTAGCTTGTTTTCAAGTCATAAACACAGCATGAATTAACAATAACGTGATTAACGCTACCAAGATAGATGAGACAGATGCACGTTTATCCCCAAATTGGAGGTTCAATTGATCCAACGTAATTAGGCGATGTAAGCTTGATAGGACGGCGGTACTGTGTGACGAAATTAGATAGAAGAGACACTTGATAGTGAAGAGCGTATGGAGAGTTTGAGTCATAAATACACCATGTAAAGGAAAAACATTAAAAGAGAAAGAGAGAGTAACTCTTTAAAAGAGAGATTCATTGAAGGCCTGAATCGTACACTGCACGAAAACTTAGATTTACCGGGCCAGTATAGTTGGGTAATGTTTACTTTGTATTTCTTAATAAACACTTCTGAACTTTACAATGTCAGTAAATAAAAGTCAAGTACGATAATATCGGACTTTTAACGGTTGTAAAGGAAATTGCTGCAATTGATCGTTATTTACTACCATTGTAAAGCCAGATACTGTGTACATAGTCAACATTACCCGAGTTTACAACCATTGGTAAATCCAACTTTTCGTGCAGTGGTACTTCCTAAAGTATTCCTCAAGATAGACGGTGCATTGGACAGGTTTATCACAAACACGACCCCACCCACCCCCCTTCCACACACACACGTACATATTCACTCACTCACTCACTCACTCACTCACTCACTCACTCACTCACTCACTCACTCACTCACTCACTCACTCACTCACTCACACTTTTCAACTCTCTCAAAAATCAAATTAAAACGAGGGCAGGACTTCTGACGGACCGCCCAGGAATCAATAAGGACCCCACTACTCAGTAAAGGTAAGTGTGACACAATTGCAATTTTTGTGTCCAATGATCGATAACATGAGAAACGCGTTTCCAATATCCTCCTTGATGGAAAGTGCAATGTAAAAACGCCCAATGTCCAGATACGTAATTTTGTCAGTGTCATTAGTAGACATATGACCTAATTCTCCTTGTTCCAAATCGAAGTTCGGCGCGAAGTTCGAGTTACGCTGCAGTTGGAGTTATTGACAACAGTGCTCGGCCAATTGATGGTGGTTTGCCCCTGCTTCCGGGTCACTTCCGGAGGGAACCATTTGTAATTGATCAAAGTGAAAGAAAAACAATAAAACACGACCTGTTCTTAAATGTACTGTACTGCAGTTCTATCTTTGCAGAACAGTTAGGCTGAATGGCAAAAGCCGCTAAGAATTGTCCTGTTCCTCTTTTCTCAATGACGCCCAATCCTGTAACAGATCCAAACAGCACGCCCTGGTACATGTGAGACACGATAAAAATTTGTCCTTTTGGTTCTTACATTTCCCACGATGATTTTTCGTACAACGTAGGGATAAGCACTTTTGGCCAGCCTTTTGTAAGGATATTAAGAAATCATTCAAAGCTAAGTCTAAAGATTGTGGAGAATTTTCGTAGGTTTTTAGCATAGGATAGATGGAGACGAGATTCGAAGTTTTGATAACATTGCAATTAGTTATCATGGTATTTATGTTTATAACGCATGCGATCTTGGCATCGACAAAATCTTCTTGTAAGCTCCCAAGATCCGACACATTGATAATGTAATATCACTGATGTACCCGTCCACACATGAGCAACACTTGTAATGTAAAGAGTGAAGATGATCATCACTGCGTTTTGACCTGAAAAAGAGTCACTTGAAGCTGGTAACACATAAAACAAATGCTTAGCCACGTGAGATAGGGCTTTAACATGCGATTGTGATAAGGTTCATTTAGCACTGCAATCAGTCATTTTAGTATTTATGACTTTGGCATAAACGGCATCGACTGTTGGGATAAGGCACCTAATCTATGGTTTGCAAGTCACACAGGACCCTGTCTTGCGAGGGCGCAAACGCGATCACAATATGTAAGGCATGTACACAGGCCGTCGAATAGAATCTTTATGAGATCCCATGACCGTTCTCACGATCAACTTTTGAACTGGCGTTTTTTCTAGATCGATCTTTGCAAGTCTTTCATTCCGGTAACAAATCTTTATTTAACATCTTCAAAACAAATACGTTTTACCATGTTGAGCGTAGAGCATGTTTTCGCAGTCTTAAAAATTGAAGCCTTTGTGTCCAATGTGATGAGTGGCACAAATCAATGACAAGACCTCTCCGCAAATCAATATCTTTCATAATGATAGCTTGTCAAGCGTGGTGAGAGGGAAGGGGCTACAATCACAATCCGAGGACAGCCAGTCACAGGTCAGGAAATGTAACCGACCTGTGGGAATTCACAAAGAGCGATTTAGTGGCTTCGTCCGATCGATGGATGGTATCGATTGTGGGGCTGAAGGTGCCACAAAGTTGATGGGCTCTCCCATAACTAGAAATACAATCCACCCATTACTCACTCACGCCAGCCGAGTTAGGCAAGGGCCCGGGCAGATTCGTCGTACGATCGTCGTACGATCCTAAACTAAATGTCTTCTTGGGACAGTCTCGTATGTGTCGTACAAACTTCAGCTGTCTTGTGACGGTAAAGGCTATATTAGGTACTTATCAGTGGTTGGTTCTTTTTGACACAGATTGCTTGAAAATTCCACGATATCCAAATCATACGACGACCTACGACAAATGTGACCGCGCCGAATGAAGGGATTTTTCTTGGTAAAAGCCTCACAAAGATACTGGTGATGTGCACACTCTGTCGGACACCTGATGACGTACTAGACTCGGCAGGTGAGTACACTAGGAACACCTGATGACGTACTAGACTCGGCAGGTGAGTACATGAACACCTGATGACGTACAGACCACAGGTAAACACATGGACACCTGGAGGTGGTTGCGTAAACACCTGCCGATGTACACCTCTGGCGCAAAGCTGATCGATGTGCTTTACACTGGATGAACCTGTCGCCACATTTGTGTGTATCAGTCCAATACCACGCTACAGTGCAAACAGGGGTCAGGAACGTCGATACCAATGCGATGTTCCCGGTAAATCTCATCAATATTTTATCGCGATATATCAGTAATTGGGGCTTGCACATGACCCGTGTAGGACGAGACGCACACCCTTCGATTTCAGATAATACGACCAGACAACCAATGTGAGTAAAGAAACAGAAAGAGAAAATGAGGCATATTCTCTACTAAAGACACCTTTAGACTAGGTCTGGTCCGGTTATGTGATAGTGGGATTTTTGACTTAGAATAACAACCAATGTGAGTAAAGAAACAGAAAGAGAAAATGAGGCATATTTTCTACTAAAGACACCTTTAGGCTAGGTCTGGTCCGGTTATGTGATAGTGGGATTCTAGTTAATATGATATTCCCTAACGTTCTTTACACATATTACCCAGAAGTATTCCTTTGCGTTGCTGAGCGCGTGGATTTGTTTGTCTGTCTGCGCAGAGAACTTTGACAGCACGTGGGTTATTGAAAGATGAGAGGAGGTGAAAGGTCTGGGAGCCAAAGGGGAAAGTTACATGATAGCCCAAGTCCCAGAAGTCTGCAATCTTTTGGTCCAGAAAGTTACCATATACCCGGATATCGTATGTCATTCACACGTGACGCCATGGCCACTGTGAAATATGATGCTGAATTATCCGTCATATCCAAGACACGAAATTTTTTGTGACTTTTCCAATGGTTAATTTCATTGATTGAGAAATTGCCGCGAAAATAGACCTCTTTGTTTTTGTTCAAAACTTTGACTAAACCACTTTTCCAGATGGCATTTCAATTATTCAGATCATTTTCATTTGTATTTGCTTATCAACGTTCTCTCTTTCCTGGTTTAAAATACTGTAACTAATTGCAATAATACCAAATCCATGGTTTATTCATCTGTTGTTAATGTGCTTTCATGAGGCAAAATTTGAATTGCAACAAAATTAGCTAAAGTGCTTTGCTGCGCAGGGCTGAAAGGGAAGTGGTGCATTAGTTTGTAGCTTAGCTGGTTGGTACGATTTGTCACATTATATGATTTCGTAAAATATCATGACGATAAAAGAAAGCAAACCCACCTGTTTTATCTCTCACCACGGCATCGCGAACCGCTGTGGGCGCCTCGGTAACATTGTAGACGTCCGTCACATTGCCGACAACTGTAGGAACGAAAGTTTGACAAGGGAACATTTTATTCACAAGGAAAGCGTGTACATGTACGCTCCCTGATGAGAAATAATAGTAAACTTGCCTTAGGTGAAACATGATAGTACAATCCACTTTTGTAGGCATAACTGAAGGTATGGAATACATCTATGTGCTGAAAGTTTTTTTTTTAATTAATTGTTATTCATGGTTTTATACATCTGTGGCAATATTGTAATCGTTGTCAGTACATAAGACGTCACCACCTTCTCGGTGACTTAGTTGGTAATACGATTGTTAATTAATCCCGGTATAAAGGCTGCCCAATCTGCGCACGCACGAGCGGGGTCTGACGTCAGAGTAAGACATGGATGGTTTGTTCTCACCAGACAATCAACATTAAGCTGCAAATGAAGGATATAATAGTGTCTTTTCTTGTTCTCGTCCAATAGGTTTCATTATATCCACTGTTGAAGTCTCACCAGAGTGTACTTGTTCATAGGTATCTTCGTCAGTCAAACCGTAGCGTGTCGGTTACCGTGGCATGGCTTTCGCTGAGCGACCGTTGTGCAACCAAAATTGGATTTATCTGACCCTTGAATTTATAATTGGAATATGAAGGAACATATAAAGGTATGATTTGAAGGTCAACAGTGCTGAATCCTGTGTAACTGAGCTTATCTCATAACGTCTGTTAATATTACTGGATTAGCCGCAGCATCCTACAGCACCCTACAAGACTGAGAGCGCTATGACGTCAGCTTTGACTGCAACTTGTCTTTACGTATGTTAGTCTTCACGCTAAATGAAGGATCATGTGTGCAACGAGCGGTGCCTAAACAAGATCAGAACGTCTCACGGAACAGGAATTTGCAAGTCTGCCTTTTTCTGGATGTGGTGTGGTGGGTGTAGACATCATTGGGAAGGCGCACTCACCCGGTCTAAGCCCATCCCGCAGACCTAACGATGCCGGCTGTGTTCTATGATGATTGGGCCGGCAGTAGAGAGGAGGGGATTGACCTGCCTCAATGACTTGAAGATGGCCGTTAGGATACTGAAGTGGGCTGTCAGAAATACATCTCTATTGTATTACACTCCCTTTCCACTGGAGGCTGCGACCGCTGAGTGACCAAACATTTGACAGATCGTTTAACGAACCTCATAAAGAGCGAATTTTTAACGTCATGAGTGATTTGTTTTTTTCATATTGTATGATATTCCAATTATGAAATCAACGGTCACACAAATCCAATTTGGTCGCTGTACGGTCGCTCAGCGATCCCTGTCTAGGACGAAGCCGCCTCACAGAATGTACGCTGGCGGATGTGTTATGGGACGATTAGCGGTGGGAATCGGAAATTACTCGCCTCCGCTGACCTTTCAGGTGGAAATTACAAACCCTTCACGGGTTGTTAGAAAACCATCTCTCTTGTATTTGGAGGTGGCTGTGGACATTCGCCATGATGATAAAAGTCAACAGAATACCTCAGCTCGTGCCAATAAAGGTTTCTGCGGCCAGACGCTACCCCGTTAGCGTTTATAGGTATGAGCAGAGAGTAGCCATAACTGAGGCCGCGGAACCCGGGTGATCTTATGACATTGACAGTAATGACAGACGTAGTATTGGTACGTAAGAGAGCATAGCAGGGCCATTTGGTAATAGCAGCTTTGGAGCATTCTTTCTAGTTAAGAGTCGAAGTCTGGGGTAATTCGAGGTATGACGAGCAAGCTTAAGGATATAATCTCAGTAAATTGTACGAAATGACAGAACACAATAAAATCTGGCCTCCTTTATCATCCGTCTTCACTGCTTAAAACTTGGAAGTCCTCTGTTTGATTTTAAAATAGTTGCGTTAGAATAGATGCATCACTACCAGTACCATACCATATCATGCTTCTCGGAAACGAGTACGTGAAATAACAAGGGTCTTTAAAACGATAAATTTCATACAAGGACGAAACAACGGTCTTCTTCCCAAAGCTATATCTCTGTCCTCTATAGATCTGCCGAGTCAATTACAGTGGTGGGGAAGACCTTGGGAGGACCTTGGAACTGTGGTTGAACAGCTGTTGAAATGAAGATGATTATTGGAGCAATCACCGTGCAGGGAGCAGCGGGGACCATCCGGCGGCCACAGACGTATAATCACCGGCCAGGGAACTCCCACCGCTGATGGAATACTGATGACCACCGCGGCCTCGCCTGTCTCCTACATTCACAGGGCTATTCATTTTCCGTGAAATCGTTTTATGAATACGATAGTAAGCCTTGCGCTCTGACGCTATTCGGCATATGTGTAATGCGACTCCTGATGAGCGCATCAAATATCACCTGATTATATCTAGCTAGAGAATGAGAAAAGCTCAGATCAATAGATAATGCTTTAATTATTGGAGCATTGATGTGGAAAAAAGATGGAATAAACAGATATAGCTTTGCATTGCTGCTTTATGGGTAGGTTATCTACTCGAAATACCGAAAGCAATTTATATAACTTTTAACGTCGTTGTATAACTATATGACAATGTCACGCATTCCATGTAAAGGTTTTCCATCAAATGTTCATTTTGAGGACAAGATTTTTGTAATATTCCGTTTCAAAGTGGAGACCGAAACTACAGAAGCGTGCAGAAAATTCCACGCATATGTCTTAAAGTCGCGGTCACATTCGTCGTCGTGACAGTAGTTTGGCTGTTCTGATGTATTTGTGTTTTCAAGCAAGCCGTGACAGAACCACTCCCCGACAAGGATTTAAGACAGGAGAGTTTTGTAAGACACATACACGAGTAATTCTAGAATACAGTCAGTTTGCGATCGTGTGACGGATGTGACCGTGCCCGAACAAGAGGATGGACTGTGTATGTGGTAACAGAATAGATGGATCGAAACTTTATTTCGCATTATCACTCTTCAAATTCGTGGTAGACAATTTGATGTACAGGAGCTAAGAATTGCGTCTAATTACACAGGAATGGGTACTAAGTCATTCCCAAGACAACGGGTTGATCCACATCCATCTGCACACCCGTCGGATCGAAATGGTCTGTCATCTTCAAAAGCAAAAATCATCGATTTTCACCTGTTGCTTGATTATCGACCACATAACAACGTTTCATGCATTGATTACGCCTATGCACACATAATGACAAGTCAAATACGCGTGAAGATGGATGTTTTATTCATGAGACTTAGTCCCGCCGGTCGTCTTATGTGGCTCCGTAGAATCATCGAACTACTGCAGAGGCGAAATGTTGGGGTAATTCAAACTAATGACGGGTACAGAACGGGCCCCGGAGAAGCACGGCCAGCCATTTCAAACGTGGTTTGATTTATAGTTGAAGTGCGCCCCTGTGTTGTGAACTCTGTAATGAGACACGGTCTGAAAGAACATTCATTTACAACCATGATCCCTCACAGGTTAAGTATATAATAAATAATATTGCTGGTTCAACGGTCTCTTTATTAATTGGCATTTGACATGATTTTTCATCACCGAAGTCTTAGTGTTTCTTTACTGCTGTTCAAGTTGAAAGAGGCTCCCAGTGCGTGTGATTGTGAAGAGGGAACCATGGAAAGAAAGGTTCCGGCTTTCCAATGCGTCATGGGTTGATAAAGATCTGGATGTTTGTGACATTAGAGGATGTTATGAACAAGGCGGTCTTAGCACATACTGAGTGTGTTATAAAGACGGAGATAACGGTATATGTCTTACCGTAAAGTCTTACGAGGGGTGGGAGTAGATAAAGATAATCTATGTGAGTTAAGGTGGTACGTTGGTGGTGGGGGTGCATGGTGGGGTCATGACAGAATTAAAATCCCGTTTGTGTAGTGGATGAGAAAACCACTGGCACGCACACACCGAGCTAGAGACAGGAAGGAGTGGAAAAGACAGATACTTAGGGCTTCCATTGTCCCCGGCACTCAAACATGAGGATGGGACTAGGTTCAAGCACGAGGGTTACACTACTGGTTACAAAACCTCCGGTACGGGATCCTGGAACAGAGGGCAGCTAAGGATTAATGCTAATAATGCTAGTACATGTCTAAAAGAATTAAATGAAGATGCAGATCACAAGGCAAGAAACGTCATGGAGGTGTGTTAATTCTAAGACGCACTCGTCAAGCTCCACTGAACCCTCTAATAACTTAGTCCAAGCAAATAGACGTTCTGGTTTTGACACACTCTGTATCCCCCCACGCGTTGACGTAGTAGTTAATATAATCTCGTTTACGCCAGCTTCACACGTGTGGCATGACCGTGGACGACAGTAATTGCCCTTGACTGTCGTCACCATGACTCACACCCACGCCGTGAGATCAGCCCCCACGTCAGAGCGGCGGAAGGCTGGGCGATGGGAGCGGAAGTCTGCGGGGTTAGACGGCGGGAGGGCTGATGCTCGTCCCCGGTATTGATTCCGACAACTGGTGCGTCATTTGAGCTAGCCTGGGTGCCATCCGATTTGCCATCGGGTCCATCATACTGGCTGGCCTTTAGGGAGCGGGCATGGAAGTCCCGAAATGCAAAGAATTGCGCCCAGCTACATGTCACTCGTAGTGGCATGTCAGGTAAAATATTTCCAACGCATCCAACGCATCTCAATGCACGTTCTTCCGGTCCAAAACTGTGTGAAGGGGGAAGTGGGAACTGTTGACGATGGCAAGTATGTGCGAAGGAACGTATCCAAATAGTGATAATAAGGCATTCCAATCGATTTCGTTTACAATTAATATGACAATTCATCTTTTCAACCCTTCGCAGGCTTATATTTTTGCGGCCTTGAAATTGAAAATTGCACGATGTGATGAAAAATTGAATCCTGTCTGTGAAGAAAAATGCAGTATCATTCAACTGGATGACTGAAAACAATAAGGATTATTCAAAGTTTAGTCTGATAGATTACCTTAATACCCACGGTTATATATAACAGCTCAGAGGAAAGGAGGCTATTCGTCATCGCAGAGCAGGAAACCAAACATCACACGGCGTTCATATTTACTGCGACTGGAAATGTCGACAAAGAGCAGGGTGAGGAGGTGGCGTGAAGACAGATGGAGACTTTTGTACGAGTTTCAGCGCCCAGAAATTAATGTTCACCCCCGCTACGGAGGGAGCGAATTGTACACTTCACGCGTGCACCATTCGCAACTCTACACACATGTACATGAACTGTCGTTTAGGTTTATTTTACATCATTGCCATCCCCGGGGACACGGGGGCAGGACCTGCACTCCCCTAGACGTTAGTCTTCGCGAAGGATTAGATATCATTAAGTAGAAGGCTATAGATGCGTGTACCATGGCGACCATTCACACTTGGAAATACCGTCTATAGACTTCGACAGCTGTGGGAAAATTACCGCTCTATCTAGTCAGACTCTCCGCATAAAACCATGACAATACCAGCCGCATGACGCGTCTTTGTGGTGCCCATGATACGATACTGCCCGGGTAACTACGCGGTCCCGTTGGTCGATATTTCCCGGGGGACCGGGAAACCCTCTTCACGGTACCCGCACCGGTACGTCTGTAATCAGGATCACACAGATCAGTACAGACAGAGGGATTATAGCAGGCGGGTGGAACCAGGCGGTCTCCTGAGAGACGACATGTAAATAGTGGCATGTATCGTATAACGAGAAATAAAATGTGCATGGGTTCATTTTGAGTGGCCCTTCATTCGTTCAGGTTGGGTTATCATAACGCTTTATCGATTTATTTACTTACTGGGTGTTTTATTCATTTTGTATTGGAAAACACCTTACATTCAAACTTCATCTTCATACTTTTCACACATAAGAACAGGAGAAAAACAGTAATTCTAGACGTAAATGCATTTTATAAATCTGTCCAATGTCTGATCTGGTAGCGCAGAAGCTGTGATGAAGTTATACATTCCTCTTTGTCCTGGGCATATGCGCAAGCGTGCATGATATACATGTGCTATACGTAGGTAGGCGTTATTGTGATATATTAAAGATGTGATATTTGATTCTGTCTCCTGTTATCTCATCTGTCACTTAGTCTAATTATTTGACCGTTGGGGCACCACAGAAGATCTGACAGGCAGTTTCTCCACCCTTCTCTATTTCCTGTTCTTCACTTTCACTTAGTGTCGTGCCGGTCCATTCTCTAAGACCTGTATTGTGAGAATAACTAAGCAAAGAATCGGGCGCCTTATCTGCTGTGGTAGCTACGACAGCGTGGTTTAAAGTGCGCTGCACACAGCAAATTTTGTTAATCATGTGGCCTCTTTAAATCCCACGGGATCAAATACTAACGGCACATAATTATGACTATGATAATGATGATTACTGGAGCGTTTGTGGAGATATTTGTCGCAACGACGTTTTTGTGTGTTTCGACAATTACAAGATGCACAATGTATATCCCAACTTTATAAAATTCCTCGCCATTGACAGATGCCGGCTGCACAATTAACTCACATCCCCTTATAGACAGTTGGTAGTGAATTCAGGCATGGTCCGAGATGTAACATCAACTCCTCTAGCTATGTTTTATGTAATTCCCCAGGGTAATGTTGTGCAGTATCTATTCGTAAGCGTTCTTCCATGTCACAGTAATAATTTTATGGTAAGAGGTATGGGCAGAAGAGTTTATGTTTTCCTGTGTAGGGGAAGGAATAAAACATGACAGTGTCAGTGATCGCATTAAAAGCAGACACGTTAACAAGGGTTGCCCTCACGTGCATATAGAAAAAATGCCTTAAATACTGCATTAGGTTCAGCTGCGGCATGTTTGTATTCCATTCCACACAGTATATGGATATCCTGCTAGTACATCTCCTGCTGTTGGTTATACACATTGTAAAATTGTGTAAATAAAATTCTGAATGAAAGGCGTCTGTGGCACCCTCCAGGGTGCTGAAAAGACGGTTGCTGTTGTACTCTTGGGAGCACTCCACGACCAGGGGAATCCGTATCGATCATGGTTATGATTAATATGCTGAGTGCTTCTAGTGTCGGTGCGGTTTGTCTTGGAGACTATCCAAGTGGACTTTCTCGCCGTCAAGTGAGACATTAAGAACAGGTGTGTTACGGCGTTGGCGCGGATAGTTACGAGTGGAAAAGGCAGCTACGTTTGGCGCGGCCCGACCACGCTTGGTTTGTACGTGGAATTCGCCGTTACAAGGAAATCGCGGGGTCACTACAAATGCTTAATGTACATTGAAATCAGAATTGCTCTTTCTACTTTCCCGAATGACACATACTCCATAGCATTATGCAGCTGCTTATGTTTAAGACAGCAAGCAAGAGTTCTAAAATGTTCAACATACAAGGGTTCTAAAATGTTAAACGGTGAGCACAAAGAGCACAAAGGCACTCTTACCTGCACTTGTGAAATCAGCCGCTGCCCAGGTGGTGAAGAAGTACAGGTGGGAGAAGATGAACAGGGTCCACCCTAAGGCCTCAGTTCTATCTATTCTCAGTCGACACAGCATGTCTTAACAATTCTATATTCAGAACAGGCTCTACTCTCAGACCAACTGTCTGTTACTCTTGGTTTCTCTACTGTCTCTACGTCGTAATTAGAAAGTCAAGAGAACTGCCTGATGGCCAGAACTACAGTGTAGAACTGATGACGTCCGTTCCACTCCAACATCAGCGCCAGTGCACGGGCAGAGAGACGCAGTGACGTCCATTTACGTCCGACTCCGGAGCGATCGTCAGTCTAAGCCGGTCCGGTGACGATAACAAACTGTAATGACTGTTGGGATGAAGTCATCGGTTAGGGAATCAAACAGCGTGATGCGGCGGCGTGCAGGGGCGCTGGGGATAGGTTCGCTCAGGACGCGCTGCGGCGTTCAAAGGAAACGTGGAGTAGATGATCGAGAAGGGTGAGAAGATAGAAGACGTCGCGAAGGGCGACCGTTCGTCCTTTCCCACCTCCTTTAGCAGACTACCCGCCCGGTCTCCGCCAAACGTCAAATGACAGGGTTCGGCTTCAAACCACGTGATTTTATCTCGCTCATGGGAAAAGAGCCAATCCACAGTAAAGCGCCCACTGAGAAATAACTTCTATATCTTTCCAATCACCGTTTAATATCGTCCTTGCCGCCTGTATCGCTATAGCCGCTTCCCCATTAGCAGTGGCGTGTGGATTAGTGGGCTGGAGATCCACGTGCGGATGCACTCGCTTGGAAAATCGATGTGCCCGTCTGGGAAAAACAAGTGGCCGGAGCGCGGAGACCGGCCCACCGCGCCGCGCTCCCTGCTACTGCCGCTGGGGGGAGGGTTACGGCTCCGCGAGTGAGAGGGGTGGGGTGGGCCGATACCTGGGCGACTTTCTTGTTAATGACTTTGCCCAATGCAAGACCAAATGCCACTTCTGGGCATTGAACTAAGTTGGTGGGAGGTACAGGTAAACTATGTAAGTTGGCCTGGTGGTGAACGTTGGTTTTGAAGGCTTGTACACATGCCAGTGGTCATAGTCGTTTGTCTGAATCCAATCATGTAAAGTAGCACACACATCTGAAATCGCTCGGTGAAAAAGATGTTCTCTTAACAATACAAACTAACCACAGAAGAACGTTTGGCACAGTCATGCACCTTCTCGCAATTTCTTCACATTAAGATGGGCACATTTAGACATGCGGTTTGTGCGGAAAACATTTGACTTAGAATTGGGGATTTTACTCGGATCACTTGCCGCACTCATGGCACTCTGTGAAGAGGCGCTGATGTGAAGAGTTATTGATTATGAGTCAACAAGGGACTGTGAGCCTCTCATCAGAGTTCGCTACAGTCATAATCATTTCAAATTCAGTCAAAAATCACCCGCAGTGATGTTCCGTACGGACGGTTCTATTCAGATAGTTTGGAGGAAAGGTCAGGATGAGGGTGAAATGGAGGGAAAGAGAGAAAGAGGGAGAAGAAAGAGATAGATAGATAGATAGATAGATAGATAGATAGATAGATAGATAGATAGATAGATAGATAGATAGATAGATAGATAGATAGATAGATAGATAGATAGATAGATAGATAGATAGATAGATAGAGGACGTAAAGTAAGAATTTTACTTTTACATAACAGTTAAGATTAATGCATATTTTCCAAAAGGAGAAAAAACTGCGAAATCTGTATCTCATAAGTTAAAGTAGAATGGAACCTTTAATTTGAAACATCCTTTCATATAAAGATGTGATATAAAGATGTGACCCAGGGGACTGATAGCCAAATAGTAAAAACAAAAAAACCAATGAAATTAAAGAGAAATAGCTATATATTTTTTTCATATTGCTTCAAAGGCTTGACATAATGAGATACAATGTACATTGCGTTTAACTGGAAACTACTAATTATCTTGCGAGAAAATGAAAAAGGTGTCCCAAAATATTGATGAACCATCCGCGTAAAACAGGTTGTATGTATTCATGTGGCTGACCCATTTTCAGGCACAGGAGTCTGGGGGAAAGGCGTAAATGGGGTACGGATTTGTTTTATTGTTTCGAAATCAGTAATGGCTTCAGGGCGAAATGTAATAGGGGAGCTGGGAAAAGTTTCTCCATACAAAATTCAATACTCAAAGTAATAGATGTTCTTAACTATTGCCCTGACATTTCTATCCATTAGATAGCGCACAACCCCAAAACTGGATACTGTTCCACAACTTGACCTTAGAGTGGGGCATCCAGTGGGTTGTAAAAAGGAGGCAATAATTAATGTAAACAATGATTCCCCTTTGAGGTTTTGGAAGAGTCCGCAGAAGTGGTGAGATTTGAGCCTATTAGAGATATCCTTTCAATCAATCCAATCTGCAGCAATAGCACTTTAGTTCGGCGCACATGACCGGCGTCATCTGTGATTCAGCAATACGAGACGTGAAACGCTGAAAACCTTTTAACCAATTAATATCGCGCTACACTTAACGTGCGGTACGGGAAATTGTTTCTCCCTTGGCTGCTCGCCATCTTACTGACGTCACCATTGAGAGAGGGACAACAATGAGACCGTCTAAGGAACGGCTGTCTGCAGCAGTTTTGGGGAAAATTGAGGAATGCCTAATAGTATGTAGATGCCTTTTGCAGCGTGATAAAGTCCCGTAGCGTAATAAAGCAGGCTAATTAAGTCATTTATGATAAAGTTTTGCAGCCTAATATAATAGCTTAATTAAGTCTCGTAGTAAAATAGCTTAATTAACTTTTGCAGCGTAATAAGGCAGTATAATCAAGTCTATCCAAGAAAGGTGCCTTTCATAACAAAACATTTGCTTCTACAGCAACATAAGGACCACCAAGCAGCTGTTTTGAATCGTATACATCTGTGCTCAGGTCGGTTGAATACTAGTGAGCTCCGTGTCTTGGCTTGGAACATCTTCCTTTTCTTCTCCCAAGCTCTAACCTCACCATTTAGCACGCTATATCATCATACCATCTCACTAATCAGCACCAAGGACTGTACCTTAGCCATGGACAAATTTCGCATCAAGGAATTGACTTGGCTATGGTTTACCATTTGAACTTGATAACAGGAAATTAAAGAGCCTTTGTTTATTGAGGATTTCAAGGCTATTTCGGTTAATATCTTTGGGATTACGTACAATAATTGCTCTTTGATGGCTCCCTTGCCTACACTTCACCACGCGCTGGCAAGTCCAGTAGGATTTCGGAAACTTCGGCGCTATCAGTTAGACAGAGGGAGAAGAGGGGGGAGGCTGAAATGGAGAGAGAAAACAAAATGGTGGCTAGACCAAATAGAGTGGCGTGACAATTTAATAATGATTTTTCGGTATGGTTTTGTCTATCCCGGTGTCCAGCCTATCGCGGTTGGGGCGGGTTTTCTTCAGGACTGCTGAAGCTCTTCCCCGCTCGCCTAAGCTAGGTTCCCTGGTAGGTTTTGCACGACGGGAGTTTGATTAGCGACTAATCAACTCCCGGCGTGCCAAACTCTTTCACAGGCGTAACTCCTACCGGGCGGTCTGTTGAGCTGAACGGGGGAAACAATCGGAGCCCCAAAGACAACCTGCCCCAACCGCGATACACTGGATACTAGGCTAGGTTTTATCCAGTAACTTGACAACAGCGCCGTTGGACAAATGTTTTAAAACACTGCAAGATGTGACAGTTGGGCCGGCATCGTTTGTTCGTCACACGTCTGAGGCATTATTAAAGCCTGGTCACATTCATCCTGCGATTGAGTTCATTCTTGCTGTAATCTTGCCTGTATCCTGAACAATTTAGCTGTCTTTTTACAGAAAAGGCCGATTGGAACCTTATCGGCGATTGGTTCTGTCTCAACACTGTGACATCAAAATCGCACGACGACCTGCGACTAACGTGACGCGCCATAACTACTGCTGAGACCCGGGCCAAGGCGTGAACTGGAGGTGGCTGGCTAGCATGATAAATCTCGTCAATAGTCCATTCCTGGACCAGTGGACCGTATTAACGTTACAGGGCGAAATGGGCTCCATCCATCAGGCACGCACGCCATACAGGGATGGATGTCATCTTCACTTAGCACAACATGCAGTGTCCGTGAGCGTTCCTCATCATTGGGAGAAAACCTCAATGCAGAAAATTGTTTTAAGGAATAATTAGCTCTTGTTATGGCTAGCTTTTAATATGATTTATGGTCTTCGAAGGACCAGGTCTTCCTGATAGGACTTGATGGGCTAGGATAAGAGGAGGGACGTGAAGCACACAGAGATTCGGAAGACTTGGAATGTCAGTTGCTTGTGCGATTTTTTTCTCATTCGGCTCTAATCTACTAAGTTTAATATTGAAATAAAAAGATATCGACCGTGCACTCCGAAGCTCTGTATTTTTTTCATTGAATTGCAGAATACCGAATTAAGGACTTTTTCATAAACTATGTATGGGTTCATTTCACGGCACATCGCACACACTAACGAGAACAGCTGACAGACATACGTAACGAACAAACTGGACTGGTGAAAAACAATTGAAACAAGTTACTTTTACTGGACTATCGACTAAACAAACTAAAGTTATAGTGTTAGAATGAGTAAATGAACAAATACATCCAAAGCTATCAGAATCTAGAAGCTTTGCGGCGAATCTCTTTGGTCTGTCATCAGTACTAGGATTTAAGAACTTCGAAAATTTGATGTAAATCTTGTTTCAAATGACCAGCAGTATTTTGATCTCTGCTTATTTTAGGAATCAGAATTTTAAGCGCTATTTTTAAACCATTGCGTGGTGAGCTGAGAAAAATATCTGCAATGTGTGACAGTTTCGTTGAAGAAGGTCGGACAGATTTTCTTGTGTTTTCTAACGATATTCTCCTTTCCTAGTAGCCCATGCCACTTAACTCGTTTCCTTCAACTCAGGTCGATCGCCCGTTTCCAATGACTGAGCATAAAGATTTCCCCCGGAGTCCGGATGTTTTCCCGGGATGAATCCGTTCCGGACGAAGAAGGTCCACCGTCCTGTCGTCTATCGATGTGTCCGGGCGGCAGTCTCTGCCTGACTAACTACGCTGGATAGAGGCAGAATAATCTGCCGGGGGAGTTTGAGGGGAAATGTCCTCCCTGCATGCCACTGCACACTCCACTGACCAATTACTGGCCGTATTTTGCCGAATTCTACTATATCCATAACCCATTAGGGCCCGGTCACTTACGTCGTACGATCGCAAAATGAGGGAAATATTGGAATAGTCGTGCATGTTGTTATCTCACTCACTCACTCACTCACTCACTCACTCACTCACTCACTCACTCACTCACTCACTCACTCACTCACTCACTCACTCACTCACTCACTCGCTCGCTCGCTCACTCACTCACTCACTCACTCACTCACTCACTCACTCACTCACTCACTCACTCACTCACTCACTCACTTACGTAGTCTGTCTTGTTTCTGAATAGTTGATTCTGGCAGCCTGTTTGGAAATCCTACGACACCAAAATCGTACTAGGAGTCTACGAATGTGACCGCGCCTAGCATTACTAGGGCGGCCCGTGT